ATAGGGTCCTACCTTTTCCTGGTGTGTCTAAGGAAAAGGGGTGAGGAGGGTGCTGGTGTGACTCTACAAGCAGTTTTTCCTAGGGAGGGAAGATTTTGGAATGATGACTGTCTTCAACTCAACTTTCTTTTTTCCTACCTGATGCAGTGGTCCCAGGACTGGAGATATAACAAAAAGTGTCAAAAACAGGATGGATTTCTTGGCAAGTGATCATATATATACTTTTAAATCATTGAGAAATAATTTCTAAGGGCCTGAAGGAGTGGGTTGTGCTTTCACTTTATCTGAAAAAATCAGGGTTAACAGCGAACACAGCTATATTGCCTGGTGGCCAGATAGCCCACTTGTTCTATATATTCATAACCCTTCCCTCTGTGATCAGGACTGGATTGAAGGCAGATACTTACTAGTATAGTACTCTGCCTGTAGTCTAGGCCAGCACAGCAGCCAAACCTCCTGTTTCTTCCAGACTGGAAATTTTTTTTTAGGAGAGAAGAAGGAAGAGTAGATGAGGGAACATGAAGGAATAAATGTGTTATGTAATGAGGAAAGCCAATATTACATGAACTCCTCAAAAGAGGTGTAAGTGATGATATTACCTCTTAGCCCAATTACAACAGATACCAAAAAGGGTAAAGACATATGTCACTGAGACCATCCCTGTTGTTGGACTAGACTAATTATTAAACTAAATAGAACTCTTGTAGTGTGCCAGTATCTGTGGTCAGTCAGGCAAAATGGCTCATGCCTGTAATCTAGTGCTTTGAGAGGTCAAAGCAGAAGGATCACTTAAGGCCAGGAGTTCAAGACCAGTCTGGGTAACATAGTGAGACCTCAACTCATTAAAAAGTTGAAAAATTAGTCAGAAGTAGTGGCAGAAGGCCGGAGCAGAAGGATTCCTTAAGCTCAGGAGCTTGAGGGTACAGTGAGCTATGATCCTGCCACTGCATTGCAACCTGGGGAATAGAGCAAGACCCTGTCTCTAAAAATATAAATAGGTAAATAAATAAAATTTAAAGAGATATGTGATCAAAGACAAAGGGGTGATGTGTGGTACAGAAAAATATTTGTTCTTCCTCCCTGTTTCCTAGCAGGCAAGTCCTAAAACCTTCACAAGCTCTTCAGTGACAAGCACATTTTTAGCAGGCTAATGAGATGACTCTTGACTGAGAAGCTCCTAGATGACTTCAGGATGGGGACTGGCTGCCAGAAACAACAGGCTGTATCTAGGGTGTTGTAATTTTCAGTTTCATCCTTAATCTTTTGGAAGAGAAGAGAAGGTTGGGTTGAATCACTAATGGCCAACAAGTTAAGCAATCTTGCCTACACAATAAAACTTTCATAAAATCCTCTAGACAATGGGGGTTGGAAAGCTTCCCAGATGGTGAACACATCCCCTTGCTGGGAGAATGGTGTACCCCAGTTCCATGGGACAGAGGCTTCTGTGCTCAGGACCCTCCTAGAGCTTACTCAGTGTACCTCTTCATCTGGCTGCTCTTTTTTTTTGAGTTGGAGTCTCACTCTGTCAACCAGACTGGAGTGCAGTGGCCGCTCCTGGCCACCGCAGCCTCGACCTGCTGGGCTCTGGCGATCCTTCCGCCTCAGCCTTCCCAGTAGCCGGAATTACAGGCATGCGGTACCACACCCGGCTGATTTTTTTATTTATTGTAGAGATGAGGTCTCGCCAAGTTGCCCAGGCGGGTCTCGAACCCGTGGGCTCATGCAATCCACTCACCTCAGCCTCCCAAAGGCGTGGGATTACAGGCTGAGCCACCGAGCCCGGCCTTTTTTTTTTATAAGGCTTAAATGTTTCCCTGAAAAGAGCATCTGTTGGAAACTGAACCCACAAGGCAACAGTGCTAAGAGGTGGGACCTCTGAGAGATGACTGGGCCATCCAGGCTCTGCCCTCATAAATGCCAATTACAAAAAGGCCTGAGGTTGTGGGTTCAACCTCTTGGTCTCTCTCATTCTTGCCTTCTGTTGCCCTTCTGCTTTCCGCCATGGATGATGCAGAAAGAAGGCCCTTGCCATACACAGCCCCTCAATCTTGGTCTTCCCAGCCGGGACAATAATAAAGCAAGGGAGTTTCTGTTTATTATAACTTACCCAGCCTCAGGTATTCTGTCATAGCAGCACAAAATGGACTGAGATAGTAATAAACTGCAGTAGAGAGTTCAGCACTTTCCTGACTTCTGTGAGTTGGATTAACTAATTATCAGACCCGGGGAGGCCAGGAACCCCTGACTTTGCAGCCAAGTGAGACTGAAGTGTGCATAACCTAGGAACGTGGTATTTGTGACTTGTATCAGAAATGAGGACAGTCTTGTGGGACTGAGGCCTTGGCCCTGCGGAGTCTGAGGCTAACTCCTTGTAGTTTGTGCCAGAATTGAATTGAATCGTAGGATTCCCCATTGCTGTCAGAGAATTAGAAAATTATTTTGGTAAAGGACAAACTTTCCACCATCTGTGACACGAGTTTCCATAAAAACTCAAGCGGACGGGGTTTGGAGAGCTTCTGGATAGGTGAACATGGGGAGGTTCCCAGAAGGTGGCACCCAGGGAGGGCATGGAAGCTCCATGCCCCTTCCCCTATACCTTGCCCTAAGCATACCATCAGCTGTATCCTTTGCAATATATTTTATAACAAACTGGTAGATGTGTTTCCCGCAGCTCTGTAAGTTGCCCCATCAAATGAACCTAACTAAAAGGGGTTGTGGGAGCCCCAACTTGAAGCTAGCTTGTCAGATGTTCTGGAGGCCTGGACTTGTGACTGGTGTCTGGTCAGGGGGACAGTCTTATAGGACTTAGCCCTCAACCTGTGGGAGATGACATGATCTCCATATAGATAGTGTTGGAATTGAATTGAAAGCTGGTATCTGCTGCTTGTGCTGGGGAGGAACATACACATTTGGTCACAGAAGTCTTTTTCTGTGTTCATTGCTGTGGTGGTGGTGTGAGAGCAGAGGAAAAATATAGTTTGAGAGAGTTTTTCCCAAAACACCATTCCACAAAGAGAAATCAGAGAAAAGTAAGTAAAGTTCTACCTTCACCTATCCCAAAGCAAAAGATAAACAAAATGTAAGCATTTATATCATGTCTCTGTATAAAAAAAAAGTTTGCTAAAGGCTGTTCATGATCTATTCTTTGACTGGCATTACATGTAGACTGAAAACTAGATTTTTAAAAGTTTTTTTTAGGAGGTCATAAAAAAATTGATAAATGTTAGAGATTTTCTCCCCAGAATTATTTCCATGCACAAGAAAATATAAATATTAATACAAGACATCAGGACCCACACAGATCCTCTGGGATCTTATAAACCTGGGCATTAATTCTAGAAGAGACAAAGTCAAGGACAAGATGTTTTGAGTAATCATTTCACCATCTCACAATGCCACCTCCATGATTAATAGCATAGATGAAAGCTGGATTTAATAACACACTCTCAAGGGAATGCATAGAAAGATGTCATTTATTAGTCACTTGATCATCCACCTAAACCAAGTGCTTACCAAGTATGAGATAAAGCTCTCATCTCAGGTAAGTGCTCCAAATATTAGAATCTGTCAATCTTTTCTACTCCTTACCCTCAGCACCTGAACCCACTTATTATGTCAGAATTCCACACTTAAAGTCTCATTAAGAGACAGAAACCATCTCTGTCCATTTGTGAAGGCAACTCTGTAATCACCCTTGCAGTTGTACACGAATATGAGGCTTAGGCTCCATCAGTTAGATGACTACCTGCTGGACTGTGAGCAGATAAGGTAGCACAGAGGTTGGAACTGTGCAGATGCATTTTGGTAAAGATGGTTGAGGGGAAGGAGTGACATTTACTTTTCAAGAACAGCAGGGAAAGCAGTCCTAACCCAGGATCCAGTGTTCAGGGCTTCAGAGGTATGAGCAGTGGCATCTGTGCCCAGCACAGAAGACAATGGTTCCTACCAGAGACTCAACCTAGGGTGGACTGTGGATTTTGTCCCCACATACTGACTCTTTGTGTCACCTGCCCACAGAGCTTATCACCTTCCAACACAAACACTTTCCTTCTTTAATCTGCTTAGACTATATCTATCATCTGTCTCTTCCCTCTAGAACACAAAACCAGCAATTTTTCTGTTGTTACTTTAATGATGTTTCTAAGATACAAAAACAGTTTGTCATATATCTGGCAACAACAGATATCTGTTGGAAGAATGATCACATAGACACACTATCATTGTTAACACAGCCTCAGCCCAAGTACTGTTTTGTGGAACCTACAGCACAATGTCCTCTTACATGGACTTTTTTCACTAATGCTGTTGTGTGTCTCCTCCCTTCATACATTCCGCCACACCAATCCTCCTGCACACGGCAACTCACAATTATATTTCTTTCTCAGGAAATAACAATCCTTAACTATGGGTCCAATATTCCAAACAAATATAAATCTAAATGAGACTTTGGTTCATAAATCCATGTGTTTGGAATGGAGCCAATCTGGAACTAAGGGCAGGGAGAGGGGCTAGGAGAACAGAGTAGAAGAGAAATACCAACAGAGATTTAGAGGTTCCTCTAAAAAGACTGGGCACAGCAACATGGATGGAACTGGAGGACATTATGTTAAATGAAATTATCCAGGCACAGAAGGACAAATATTGCATGTTTCCTCTCTTAAGTGTGAACTACAAAACTTGATCTCACAAAGATAGTGAATAGATGGTGGCTACCAAAGGCTGGGAAGGATACTCAGGAGGGGGAGGAGGAGTAAAGAGAGATTGGTTAATGGGTACACAAACACTGTCAGATAGAAGGAATAAGACCTAGTATTGGGTGACTATAGTTAACAATAATGTATTGTATATTTCAAAATATCCACAAGATTTAGAATGTTCCCACCAAAAAGAAATGATAAATGTCTGAAGTGATGGATATCCTAATTACCCAGATTTGATCATTACACATCATAAACTTGTATCAAATATCACATGTACCCCATAAATGGATACAACTATTATGGATCCATGAAAATTAAAAAGAAATACAAAATAAAATAAAAAGGTTGAAGAAAAGATGAGAAAAACATAATGCTGCAGCAAGAGCCCTAGAAGGATGGCAAGAACTGGATGGGTCTGAAAATTCTTCTCTTGATACCACAGAGACGCATTTGTACAGAGGCCATCCTGGGTGATGTCTGAGTCTCTGGGGACACAAATCCTGCTGCAACAAGGTTCTACTGAAGGGACAAGGACAATGGAGCAGTGAAGATGACCCAGATGAGGAGTGACCACATCAAAAAGCATAATAAACTAAGCATCAACTGGACACAGGCCCTGTCCACACTCAGCTCCTCACAGCCTTTCCCTTCCCCACCTGCAGCAGACTCAGTTCCACAAACATGTGGATTCTGGAAGGTTCTCAGGTCTGCCATTTATTTCCTCTCTCCAATTTTAGAAATCTCCTTTAATTAGTTAATCAATCTCTCATGGCAAGAATTTGAAATAAATTTAGATTCAGATTCCTATTTTCATTAGGGAATTAAGAAGATAGAGCTCAGCACACCATGAAGTAGAGACAGGAATGGAGACATCCCCACCCCACCTCCCTGGAACAGGAAAGATGATCAGGGAAGGCAACAGGTCAGGGTGGGGAAGGGAGTCAGTGTGGACACAGGGGTGGGCTGGTCTTCTCCCCACATCCTCACATTATCCGAACAGGAATGCAGACCCATTCAAATGTCCTTTGCAGAAAGAGAAGTCAGAGGCCCTTGAAGTCAAGAAGGGGAGGCGTGAGCAAATCTTCTTTCACTCAGTCCCACAAAAGGCAGCTGTGTCACGCTATAGATGAAAATAGTCATGAGCAAATTCAGATGAGCCATGGTAAGTGGTGACCTTCTGAACAGCCCACCACACACTCAAAATGTCCCCCAAATCTCCACAGCCCAGTTGTGTCCCCTCTTCCCCGCTACCTCCTCCACCACATCAGGCCCCCAGGGTCACACCTTTACAAGCTGTGAGAGACACATCAAAGCCCTGGTCACTGTCACCACCTGGGATGGAACAAAACAGGATCTGGTCAGAGTCCACAGGAGATACAGGAGAAATTATGGGGTGGGTGAGCTCCCCCACGGGCTCCTATCTACACTGTTCCAAGAACCTGAGGGATCGTGGCCGCCACACTTACTTGCAGCCTGAGAGTAGCTCCCTCCTTTTCCACCTGCAGGAAGAAAATGTCCAGTGAGAGGCCAAGGAGGAGGCAGGCCTATGAGGTCCTAGAGGAAGCCCTAGTCTTGGACCCCAGAGAAATTTCCCAAATTGTGACTATAGACCCAGGGTCGCATCAGGAAACAAGAGGAAAGGAAATGTATAAGAACTAGACCAACTCCCCCCCCTTGGAGGTCTGTCCTCAGCAAGGACCTTCCCTGCGACCTATTGGGAATCAGGTCCCAAACAACACAATCATCAAGGTGAAAAATCGGTCCTTTATTTCCACATGTGCTGTGCATAAGAGTAGGTAAGTATTGGCACACAGGACCCCAGGCTGGATAAGCACCTATGCGTGGACGGTACTTCCCAGTAATGAGGTCAGACACATGTCTACCTAAAACTTGAAATTCCCAGTGGGACAAGAAAATTCAGATCTCACCCCTCACCCCTTCCTTACCTGAGCTCCTCTTCCTCCACATCACAGCTCCAGTGACCACAGCTCCAATAACCAGAAACAGGCCAGCAACGATTCCCATGATGAGGATGGTGGTCTGGGAAGATGGTTCTGGGAAAGGAAGGGAAGGTGAGGGGCCCTGACCCCCAGGCCTCAGCCCTGACCCTGCTGAGGGTCTCCAGAAAGGCTCCTGCTTTCCCTGAGAAGAGATTTGACCCCCACCCCCTCCTTACCCCATCTCAGGGTGCGGGGCTCTGGCAGCCCCTCGTGCTGCACATGGCACGTGTATCTCTGCTCTTCTCCAGAAGGCACCACCACAGCCGCCCACTTCTGGAAGGTTCCATCCCCTGAAGGCCTGGTCTCCACAAGCTCCATGTCCTGCGTTTGGTCCTCCCCATCCTGCTGCCAGGTCAATGAGATCTCCGCAGGGTAGAAGCCCAGGGCCCAGCACCGCAGGGTGACGTCCCCGTCAGGGTGTGGGTGGTGGGTGACGTGTGTCTTTGGGGGATCTGAATAAGAGTCAGAAAATTCAGGCACTCTGCACCCCTCCTGGGACCCTCCAGCAGCGCCCATGTGACCATCACGAGAATGAACAGGACAACTGGAGTGGGGTAAGGAGTCAAAGCTCACACACCAGCCTGACACAGGCATCAGGGATAATCTATTCTTTGGAAAGTTCTAGTCTCTGAGAGGAGAACAGGGACTTCTGGTCCTGACCTGAGTGGAGGCCAAGAGACTCTGGAGAGCTGGAGTCAGACTTCCAAACACCTCGAGTGTGAGGCAGAGAACAAACACCTCGAGTGTGAGGCAGAGAACAAGGCCTGAGAGAAGTCATGGTGCCCAAGGCTGCTGCAGGGCTCAAAGGGAGTTCCTGAGTCCCATTTCCGGGACTGAATTCCCCTCCGTTTCCCCAGAGACTGCATCTGTCCCTTAATGTCCCAGAGAGAAGGGCCTGAGTCACTCGCTGGAACAGGAGCTGGAAACCCAGGAGGATTCTTTCTGCTCTGACCCGGGGAGAGCAATGTTCTAGCGTTGACCCCATTTTCCTCCCCTTTCTGTTGGGCCCAGCCCGGGAGATCTGCAGGTCGGGGAGGCGCCCCGCGGCCCCTCTCACCCGCGCGCTGCAGCGTCTCCTTCCCGTTCTCCAGGTATCTGAGCAGCCACTCCACACACCGGCCCTCCAGGTAGGCCTTCATTTCCTCCGCCCAACGGGCCTCCTCCCACTTGCGCTGGGTGATCTGAGCCGCCGTGTCCGCCGCGGTCCAGGAGCGCCGGTCCTCGTTCAGGGCGAGGTAGTCGGCGCCGTCGTAGGCGTTCTGTTCATACCCGCGGAGGAGGCGCCCGTCCGGCCCCACGTCGCAGCCAAGCATCCTCTGGAGGGTGTGAGACTCTGTCCCCGCCCCGCGGTCAGCCCCGCCCGCCCGGGCCTGGGGATTCCGGCCGAATCCGAAACTGAAAGCGGGTAAAAGCCGCCTGAGCCCCTTCCCGGGTCGAGAGTCCCGGCGAGTCCCGCGGCCTCGGGTGAATCTCAGACCCGGAGACTCGGACGACCCGCGCCGTCCGTGGGGGATCCGAGGGGCCGTGACCTCTGACCCGGCCCGGGGTCACTCACCGGCCTCGCTCTGGTTGTAGTAGCCGCGCAGGTTCCGCAGGCTCCCTCGGAAAGTCTGTGTGTCCGCCTTGCAGTTCCGTGTCTCCCGGTCCCAGTACTCCGGCCCCTCCCGCTCCACCCACGGCGCCC